TCCCTCTGACAGCCAGCAGCCTGCTACATGTACAGAAAAATCAATTAGTCCTCAGTGAGTGCCTTGAGATCCCTAGAAGCAGAAGGTATTCCCAAAGGGGATATCTCCTCTGGGGCAAGAGGACAACCAAACGGGTAAAGGCAGCCAAATGTAGGGGTTTGTTCACACAAGTTAGTTTCCCCAGTTTTACTATTAGTTGTACAAGTATACCAGTATAATTCCACAGTGACTATTAATCCAAAGCAAAAGTCTGTGAGCAGGGCAGGGAGATAACCCTCATTAGTTTACGGTTCAGTGTCTGTTGGACTCTGCTGGTCTGCCATTCAAAACTATTAACATATACTCTTCCATGTTCTGGCATTTTTTCCAGTAATTTTTTACTTCGGATGAAGTCTCTAGTCCAAGCCTTGTCTTCTAATACCATGCAGTATGGAAAGAGGGCAATCTTTTTTATATAGACATTTTGGCATGCAAAAGAGTTTAAGATTTCACTGCCCAGAGAAAGATACTATAGTCCGTGCTATCTCCTTAATATCTGGGCACAGAGATAAATTCAGTCTGCTTGCTTACTCATCAGTGACCGTTGCATACCAACTGGGCCCTGGTTGCCATAACAGCACTACTTCAGAAACGCAAATATGAAAGTGCTTGCATGGCTAAATCAAGGGTTGTTATGATGACTCCAAAAACTGTCCCTTGTCACGCTTCGACAACCTCTTTCTGATATTACGGAATAGGTGTAATACATGTGCCTCTAGTGTCTTCTTGCAGCGCTTTATAAGTAAGCAAATTGAGAAACTTGTGAGACAGATAGACTTCTCAGTTTGGACTCTTATATTTGGCTATTGAACTGGCAATAGCAGCTCAGAGTTATTAATTAGCATGCTTATTAAAGTGAGCAGATAATCTCTTCTCTGGTAAAACAGTGGTAAGTGGGGAATTATGGGGAAGAAAAAGGTGAGTCATATGAGGGCAGAAACACATTCACAAGTTTGCATATATTTTGTCATTCTAGCTGAATATTTTTAATAACTTTTAGTATACCTGAATCAAACCAGAAAATTTTTGGCTTCAGATTCTGAATGACAAAGAACTAAATTGTGGAGTGTTGTTCAAAAATGCCCTCCTCCTCCTCCGTAGTTCGTTAGACCTGTGTGAGGCACTGAGTATTCAAGCAGGGAATTCAAATGCTTCGGTGTGGGATTTGCGCTCGGTGACTGTGCAGGTAAGGAGGACGAAGCCATTGCGCAGTCCCGCGGGAGCAGATTCCTGTTCTGGGCAAGGCTGTGAGTGGCTCTGAGACCAGAAAGCTGCCCTTCACATCTAGTCATAAATCTAAACGATAATGATTTTTAAAGGGCGGAATTGCCAGTAAAAATTCCAGTCGTACATGAACAAAAGCATATTTAATGGTTCTCCTATCTGCCATAAAATCAATCGTTGTTAATCTCAGTGAAGCTATGCTGGTTAATACTGAATGAGAATCTGATCCTCTTTTTATTATTCTACCTCTCAGGAATGATTCAGCGCGAAGACACATTGGCTTGCCCTAGAAGGCTCTACCTGGCTACAGATGGCTGGTGATCCCATCAGGATCATTTTCTCATTTTGTAGATGGTGGGACTAGTTGGCTAAGGTATCAGCCGACTCCCATGGGGCAGGATGAATTACTCCCAGACAAGGAGAAGTTAACTGCTGGTGACTTGATCTGGTGAGCCAGAGAAGGAAGATGGTTTTTTTGCAGAGGGAAGAGAGAAAAATAGGATTCGGGAAGTACAGATCTAGGAATTGGAGCCTGGTCTTTGTCATAACCATGAGGCTCTGTAATACAGTATTGCTGTATCTCAATGCCAGGCCATAAGCTTTGTGCTGAGTTTACAAGGCCTCAGGACAGGTTTGTCAGCCTTGCTTTGTCTGAACTTCTCTTGACCTGCCTGTAGCTTTGTTTCACTTGGTTTAGCTGTGATACCATTTTCACTAATTGGCCGAGTGTCTATGGCTAATCTGTCTTGGTTTTGTTTATCTTTGTGGGGTACAACCGTAGTTCTATATAGACAGAGGTAGCAGGTAGCTCTTCGATGCAGAATGAGCATATTTACGCCTAACACCGTGACGTGGCGTAGAGAAACGCAGGCCTGGTGCGATAGCCCAGGCCTTGGGAAGCGGAGGCAGCGGCAGCGGCGCGGAGGAGCACAGGCGTGGGATGGCTAGGGACAGGGCACAGCCTTGGCCCTGGAGACGCCACAGCTATAAACAACCCCGCAGTGGTCAATTAAAGAAATGCAGACCCGGCGCTGGAAAAAAATGGTTTTAGGGGGTAACAAAGAAAACAAAGAAATAGTATCTAACTTATGTAAAAGACACTGTATATAGAGCTGGGGGCTCCTGATGCC